AGTCATAATGCCCCTAAGGGTTCTACAAGTCGGCACAAGGCCCCAAACATGGCAACCAGCCCAAATCATAATAATAATAATTAAATCTCAATCAAAAATACGGTGAAATCATCATTCGGGACGGACCAAGTCAAAATCCCCAGTAGTAATGGACCCCACGCTCATCATGCAGCATGTGTCTCACCTCAACATAGCACTACGTTGTGCAAATCCGGGGTTTCATACCCTCAGGACATCATTTACAATCATTATTCACCTCAAACCGGCCAAAGCTCTAGCTCGCTATGCCCTTGCCTCTCAAATCGGCCTCCTCGCGCATCGAATCTGACCAAAACCAGAGCGAATACGTCACAATATGCCAAGGGAACAAAGCCCAAGCGAAAACAATCGAAAATATCAAAAATCCCGAAATTAGCAAAACCCGAGCCCCGGGCCCACTTCTCGAAACTCAAAAAATTTTACATCATTAGACTCCTTATCTCCCCACGAGTTTATACATATCAAAAATACAAGAATCGGAGTTCAATTGGCCCTTCAAATCCTTAATTTATGCTCTCTTAAGTTCAAGCCCTAAACCACTATTTTTGTCCATTAATTCCTTAAATTTTCAGTTGGCCCTTCAAGTCCCACCTGGCCGCATCTGCGGTCCAATAGCCGCATTTGCAGCTCCCTATCCGCATCTGCGGTCCCAGCCTATCCTTGCCTTTTCCGCTTCTGCGACCTCCACCCCGCATCTGCGATACCGCACCTGCGGTTCCCAAGCCGCAGGTGCGAAAATACCAGAAAGAGCAGAAATCTGAAATTGCACAAGTCCAAAATTCTTCCCGTTAGCCATCCGAAATTACCCCGAGGCCCCCGGGACCTCAACCAAAAGCACCAACACATCCCAAAACATCATTCAAACTTGTTCCAATTCTCAAAACACCTCAAGCAACACCAAAACCATCAAATTACATCGAATTAAAGCCTAAGTTCTTCTAAAACTTCCGAAACACGCTTTTGATCAAAAACCCAACCAAACCACGTCCAAATGACCTGAAATTTTGCACACACGTCCCAAATAACACAAGAAGCTACAACAACTCTCGGAATCCCATTCCGACCATCGGATCTAAATCTCACCTATCAACCGAAAATCGCCAGAAATACTAACTTCGCCAATTCAAGCCTAATTCTACACCGGACCTCCAAAACCACTTCCAATCACACTCCTAAGTCACAAATCATTCCCCGAAGCTAACCGAACCATCAAAAATTACATCCCAGCCCTCTAACTCATAAGTCAACATCCGGTTGACTTTTCCAACTTAAGCCTTCTTTAAAGAGACTAAGTGTCTCATTTCCTTACCAAATCCACTCCAACCACAAACCAATCAACTCGACCACATAAAACACGGATAACGAAACATAAAGAAGCAGAAATGGGGGGAAACAGAGCGGTAACTCATGAGACGACTGGTCGGGTCGTCACACATCTGTCTCAGGACTTAAGCTAATATGGAGAAGAGCTCCCTGTACATTCCTGGTGTAAATGCTGAATTCAGATAACAACTCCTGACTGAACTTCATTTCTCTCTTGGTAGGCTTCCTTTTAAATACCTAGGAGTACCGCTATCTGCTACAAAACTGACTATTAATCAGTTTATGCCTTTGCTGGAGAAGATTGTGGCTAGGGTCAGATGTTGGTCTTCTAAGTTTCTATCCTATGGAGGAAGACTTTAATTGATAAAGAGTGTTTCATTTGAGTCATGACCCCAATTTTCACCTTAGGATGTCGTGATGACACCTAGTCTCTAAAATTAGGTAATCCTAACACATGCTAATTTAATAACAGAATTGAACTATTTAATCATTTATCATAACCATTAAATGACATACATAGCCACAAGCGACCAATAGTTATACATTTTCCAAAATTGGTAGCACGGAGCCATAAGCACTACTAAAATACACTAGAATTTCTAAACACAATACTGTTTTGAATTACAATTTAATAGTAGCATAATGAAGTAAGATGGTGACTCCGAGTCCTGCGAACATCAGGCAGGTATACCTTGAAGTCTCCCGCCGCGCAGACACAACTCTCAACAACACAATCACAATACCTGGATCTGCACAAAAATGTGCAGAAGCTTAATATGAGTACACCACAACAGTATCCAGTTAGTATTAAGCCTAATATCGGTAAAGTAGTGACGAGGCCAGGTCAAGACACCTAATAGACATAGAAACCTGTTCAAGATATACATAAGCTAACAATGGAAAGAACATCCATGTAAGACCAACGACGAAAAAATTATTGATTTACAACCAACAATGAAGTAATAGAAACATAAATGGCAGCAAGTAGTAAACGAGCAATAAAGAAATAACATAATCAGAACATTGATGAGAAGTAAATGAACTCAAATAAGGAAAAATGGATGACAACTCAAATAATCAAATCGCTCCCAACGCATGGACTTACAACAAGAATTACCCCAGGGCATCACACCTCATGAACTATAAGTCATGGACCATAATTTTCAAATCGTACACATATGGCACCTCGTGCCCACAATAACAATCACCTTCGCACGGCAAAGCCCACGTGCTACCATCTACTTTGCATCCGTGATAAATATTAATTTAGATGAACGAAAGATATATTTAAACACCATAAAACATAATAACAATCTTGAATAAAGTAAGGTGTCAAATGAAATAGTGAGTTTCTTTTAAAAATCAAGTAAAATAAAATAATACACACTTTGTACGAAATAGAGTATAAGATGGGTTTAGTTTAGAAATCAATAAAACTGAACTAAAAGTATCATTTTAAACTAAGCAACACAACAAATCACGTAGAATGCGTGACTCATGGAAAGAAACCATAATCGTTCCAACACCAATATAATAGCGAATAACCAAACACAATCAAAATGCGGATGAATGATTGAAGCAAGAACAATGGCCTTTCAAATCAACAAGTTGTTCCAATATGGCATGTATAATGAAAATCACAACCGTGGTACCGCCTCATATTCATATTTCACAATCTTTCCTTATATAACCGCGTGTGCCTTACATTTAGTTTTAAAAATTATTTTTCCCGAAATAGCTACACGCGTTTTAGCCCACCTTATCTCACCGCGTGGCTTCAAGTAGTTTCCCTACTAGCAACATGCATATCAAGCCAACCTTATCTCACCGCATGCGTACCAACCCATAGCCTTATACCACCGCATGCGTATCAATATCATAACACAATCACAATCCACCACAAGTGTTCATATGCCACAACCTGTCACAAAGTCAACAACACCAATATTTTACAATAAATAGCCCATGGCTCAACCACAATATGTACAAGAATTTCAACAATAACAAAATGAGCGGGAATGCTCAAACAAAGAAAGGTATCTCAACAATTAATAACTTTGCCTCAATGTGATAACGGCTATTACAACTTCAACACCAATAACTCAACAAGATGATATTCCACAAAATAATAATTTCAATTAAAAGTGATTGTAACAAGACAATAAGGAAGGCAATAACCTCAAATAAAACATATAAGAGCAAAATAACAAGTAAGAGGTAGAACAAGTGCTAAATACATCAAATAGAGCATGTAAGAGTAGATTAACAATGAGAGGTATGACATGTTTGTATACGGCTAAAATCGAGAGTCCTATTTTATCGGATCATAATGACATTCCGTAGCTTCATCTAGAAGGCTCGAGGATCGGCTCGAGGATCGGCTCCAAGGGTCCTCTATGTTCGACCTCGGGGCAGCATAAATCGGTGGCCATCATGAACAAGCGGGAGATTCCCTAGGCACATGGTTAAAGCTGACAACGCCTGCAAGAATAGTATCAGTCCGTACCGGACTAATAAGTAGTTGTACCAGCTACGTTTCTTTATAATAATTATACACGTGCCATGTTGGGACTCCTCCTATATAAAGGGGGCCCTTATTATTTCTTTCATATGATATTCAATACAAGAACAAGAACATTCTCCGCACTCTAACTTAAACATATTCTCCCTTGATTTTATTGCTTATATTTATTACATTGCTTACATTTATTGCGTTTCATTGATTGTTCTTCATTTATTACTCATCATTGACCATAAAGAGCCCTTATCAAAGCTCTTAGAATTGTTAGTCCTTCATCGGCTATCCACAGCTTAACGCTTTAGCTCGACCTCGAGGCCCAGTATAGGCTAGCTCGAGACCCCGACTCTCGTCCACTCGGTTTGCTTGTCACACTATCTTCAAGCTCTTATCTTATTTTCTAGTCTCACACTTAGCATCTACTGCCTAACAACTAGCATAACAATAAATCGCATATTTTTAGAACCACAAAATCAAATCTAATTGTAATTACCATTTTCAAGGTAAACAATTTGGCGCCCACCGTGGGGCTAAAAATAATAGTGATTGTTTTCGTGCTGGTTTACTAAATAACACAAGTTATCCTTCACATTTTTTCTTGTCCAAGAATCTTTGATTTCAGGTCAAAATGTCTAACTCAGTAAATGCACATGAAAACAACGGTCCTGAGGACCATGGAGAGAACGGTGTAGCTATTCCAGGTATCAGAGTGCTACCACGAAACCTTAAGGGTGCACCAGAACCAATTCCCGTGGATGTGGTCTCACGCAACGCCCAACACGTTGATATTAGCTCTCACATCAACGGGAGTATACGCCAAGAAAATCAACAGGAAACTCGGAAAAATCCAACCCGGGAAGAAAGAGAGGCAGACAGGAGAAACGGAATGGGAAAACCTCAGCACATCGTTCATATGATCATTGGGGGAACCGACGTTCCTCAAGGACCCGTGACCAAACGGATAAAAATTTCCGTTGCGACAAAAGGGCAAATCCGGGGCCGCATGTCTGAGGACGTCCTCACATTTAGCAAGGAGGATTTCGAGACCTTGTCTCATCCACATAACGATGCGCTGGTAATTTCATTTCTCTTGAATAACATTCAAATTAAATATGTACTCATGGATCCAGGCAGCTCGGCCAACGTAATCAGGTCAAAGGTGGTAAGACAGCTCGGACTGCTCGATCAGATCATACCTACCTCCCGAGTCCTCAACGGCTTCAAAATGGCCGGCAAAGTGACGAAGGGGGAGATCACTCTCCCGGTCAACATGTCCGGTGCAGTCCAGAATGCCAAATTCCATGTCATTGAAGGTGACATGAGGTACAATGCGTTGCTTGGTAGGCCATGGATACATAACATGAGGGCAGTACCGACAACTCTGCATCAGATCATGAAGTTTCCAACAAAAGACAGTATAAAGACAGTATACGGAGAACAACATGCAGCAAAGGAAATGTTCGCGGTCCATGGGGAGGCACCGAATTCTATACCCTCCACTTCGGAAGAGCCGGAAGGCAAACAAACCCCCGAGGACGATGAAGAAGATTTCCTCGCTCCCCGAACTTTCGTTGCCCCAGAAGAATCGGATGCAACAAAGTCAACAATTGAAGAACTAGAGCAAGTTCTTTTGATCGAGCATCTCCCGGATCGGAAGGTATACTTGGGAACGGGATTAACCCCCAAACTCAGGAAAAAACTCATTCAATTTCTTACTAACAACATCGATTGCTTTGCTTGGTCCCATTTAGATATGACAGGGATCCTACCAAAAATAACCACCCATCGTCTAAGTGTCAACCCCAGATTCAAACCAGTGCAGCAAAAAAGGAGACCTCAGTCCGAGATAAAACACACGTTCATCAAGGACGAGGTAACAAAACTCTTCAAAATAGGGTCTATTAGGGAGGTAAAATATCCCGAATGGCTGGCCAATGTGGTGGTAGTTCCCAAAAAGGGGAACAAGTTAAGAATGTGCATAGATTATAAAGACTTAAATAGAGCGTGCCCCAAGGATTCATTCTCGTTTCCCAACATTGACCGCTTAATCGATGCCACGGCCGGCCATGAGACCCTCACCTTTCTCGACGCCTACTCGGGGTATAATCAAATTCAGATGAACCTCGAGGACAAAGAAAAGACTTCGTTCATCACGAAGTACGGCACTTACTACTACAATGTGATGTCCTTCGGGCTAAAAAATGGGGAGCCACATACCAACGCCTAGTTAATAAGATGTTCGAACATCAAATAGGCAGGTCCATGAAAGTTTACATTGACGATATGCTAGTTAAGTCCTGCGCGCAGAGGACCATTTGACTCATTTGCAGGAGACATTCGACATCCTCAGAAGCTACAACATGAAACTCAATCCCGAGAAATGTGCCTTCGGAGTGGGTTTGGGCAAGTTCTTAGGCTTCATGGTGTCATACATGGGGATTGAGATCAACCCCGACAAAATCAAAGCCATCGAAGAAATCACGGTGGTAAACAATGTGAAGGTCGTGCAATGGCTGACCGGGCGGATAGCAGCTTTGGGCCGATTCATATCAAGGTCATCAGACAGGAGTCATTATTTCTTCTCCTTACTCAAAAAGAAGAACGACTTCGAATGGACCCCAGAATGCCAATGTGCCTTAGAGGAGTTGAAATGATATTTGACAAGCCCACCTTTACTCCACACCCCAAAGGAGGGTGAAATGCTGTATTTGTACCTGGCCGTGTCCGAGGTAGCGGTAAGTGGTGTGCTGGTTCGAGAAGAACAAGGTATGCAATTCCTTGTTAATTATGTAAGTCGGACCCTGGGAGATGCCGAAACCAGGTATCCGTACTTAGAAAAATTAGCTCTTGCATTAATAAGCGCATCTCGAAAATCATATTTTCAATGCCATCATATTTGTGTTTTAACAACATATCCTCTTTGAAGCATATTGCATAAGCTCGAATTATCGGGCTGACTGGCCAAATAGGCCATCGAACTCGAGGGATACGATATCGAGTATCAACCCCGAACAGCCATCAAGTCCCAAATTCTAGCGGATTTTGTGGCCGACTTTACGCCCTCCCTCGTGCCCGAGGTAGAGAAAGAACTTTTACTAAAAACAGGCACACCTTCGAGGGTATGGACTCTGTTCACTGACGGTGCCTCGAACGTGAGAGGGTCCGGGCTCGGCATAGTTCTAAAGCCGTCTACGGGCGGCATGATTAGGCAATCTATAAAAAAAGCAAAGTTGACTAACAACGAAGCCGAGTATGAGGCTATGATTGCAGGTTTGGAATTGGCCAAAGGCCTAGGAGCTGAAGTCATCAAAGCAAAATGTGATTCCCTCCTGGTAGTAAATCAGGTAAATGGGAGTTTCGAGGTTCGAGAAGATAGGATGCAAAGATACTTAGACAAAATTCAAGTCACATTGCACCGCTTCAAAGAATGGACTCTGGTCACATACCTCGAGAGCAGAATAGCGAGGCTAATGCCCTCGCAAACCTGGGATCATCTGTCAAGGAAGATGACATACTCCCCCGAGCTGTTGTTCAGCTATCCAAATTAGTGATCGAAGAAGGTCATGCCGAGATCAAATCCACAAGCCTGGCATGGGATTGGAGAAATAAATATATCGATTATTTGGAAAGTTGGAAGCTACCCGCAGACCCAAAAGAGTCGAGGGACCTGCAAACCAAAGCAGCCCGATTCTCGCTTGACGAAAATAGAACTCTGTACAGGAGAACCTTTGATGGGCCCCTAGCAGTATATCTGGGGCCGGGGGACACAGATTATGTGCTCCGAGAAATCCACGAGGGCACCTGCGAAAATCACTTCGGTGCCGATTCCTTAGTCTGAAAGGTGATCAGAGCAGGCTACTATTGGGACAGCATGGAAAAGGACACCAATGAATTCGTTCGTAAGTGCGACAAATGCCAGAGATTTGCCCCAATGATTCACCAACCCGGTGAACAACTACATTCGGTCTTGTCGCCATGGCCGTTCATGAGGTGGGGGATGGACATCATCGGACCTCTACCAACGGCACCAGGTAAAGCTAGATTTATTTTATTTATGACCGACTGCTTCTCAAAATGGGTGGAAGCGCAGGCCTTCGAGAAGATAAGAGAAAAAAAAGTCATTAACTTCATCTAGGACCATATCATGTGCCGATTCAGGATTCCATCCGAGATAACATATGATAACGGGAAGTAGTTCATTGGAAGCAAAGTAACACAGTTCCTCGAGGACCACAAAATCAAAAGAATCATGTCGATACCCTACCACCCGTGTGAAAATGGTCAGGCCGAGTCCACAAACAAGACCATCTTTCGAAACTTAAAAAATAAGTTAGAAAGTGCAAAAGGAAAATGGAGAGAAATGTTACCCGAGGTGCTATGGGCATATCGAACAACTCCAAAATCAAGCACAGGAGAAACGCCTTTCTCTCTGGTGTATGGCGCCGAGGCTTTGATACCGGTCGAGGTCGGAGAGCCAAGCGCCAGATTCCGACACACCATTGAGAGCTCAAACAACGAGTCCATGACTTCGGCTCTCGAACTATTGGATGAAAAGCGAGAAGCTTCGCTGGTCCAAATGGCCGCCCAAAAACAAAGGATCGAAAGGTACTATAATAGGAGAACAAATCTCCGACATTTCGGAGTCGGGGACTTAGTCCTAAGGAAAGTCACCCTAAACATTCGAAACCCTAATGAAGGAAAGCTAGGCCAGAACTGGGAAGGACCGTACCGCGTCCTCGGAGTGATCGGAAAAGGGTCCTACAAGCTCGGTACCATGGAAGGCGAACAACTTCCAAGCAATTAGAACATATCAATGTTCAAACACTATTACTACTAAGGTGTCCAATGGAAGACGCTGAAACATCCCCCGACCCGAAGACCTTGGGTTTTAAGGCATGCATTGCACTTTTTTCCTTCGATCGGATTTTATCCCAAGAAGGGTTTTACCGGCAAGGTTTTTAACGAGGCAACATCTATATGCTACCTAAGGAGAACTTAACAAGTATTCAAGGCTTCCCTTCAATCAACCTCGAATACTGGGGGGGCATCCCCCCAGGAGATCACCTCCTCGGAGAAGTCAAGATGAGCCAAAAAGGGTCTCAATAGGAAAACGATGTATCGGGCCAAACGGTCGAATGAACTGTGTCTGTATAGAATAATTGAACCCTTGCCGATAAAAGAATGTATACTTGTGCCAAGTAATCAAGTAATATTTTTTTCATCAAAACACTTTGCGCTTCAAAGAGGTTTGCTATTTTTGCAAGAAAAGGCTCCAGGGCCAGAAATTTCCCGAACACTCGGAAACTTCGAACTCTTAATCCCTCAACGAGGCAACATCCAATTTACAAAGAACGGCTCCAGAGCCAAAAAGCGCTCGATGTATGGGGGACTATCGCTGACTGTCATCCCACCGAGGTGTCAAAAACTCGAGGCCATAAGACCCCATGTGGGCAACCCCGAGCTCATAAGACCTCCATAAGGCAATACCAAATATGTAAGACCTCAAGGAAGGAATGAATCATACTTGTACCAAGAAACCAAATAATTTGTAAGACCTCAAGTAAGGCATGTTAAAACTTATAAGACCTTACAAAAGGCATAATCTCGATCTTAAAGTTAAGGCTATATATTCAAACTTTTAAGACCCCTAAAAAGGCATACCCTCGATATAAATGCCATAACTACTTCACTCGGGGACTAAAAGGCTACGGCCAAACACAATGACTACGGTCACAAGGCTCCGTCCAATCTAATGCGACCCGGGGACGCCCGACCATCGCAATAAAATCACAGGCCTTCAAATTACTTCGAAAATACTTCGAAAAGAACCAGTTAATCAAGCTACCCTCAGCACAAGCAAAAGAGCTCCGATCATGTCAGCTCCAAACAATAGGCTTCGAAACAATTCAGCCATCGAGCGAAACCTCCTGAGGTGATCATTCATCGCTACATAACGGCTCACAATCGAGGTTCTTATCGAATCGTTGAAGAGTCGGGCGAACACAAAAACTTCAAAAAGTCTTTAAACAAGGGAAAAATAAAGCCTATATTAAAGGTCGTGCCGACCCAACGCGTAAGAGCCCAAGCGCCAGCCTATATTAAAAGTCATACCAACCCAACACGTAAAAGCCTAAACACCACCCTATGTTAGAGGTCGTACTAACCCAACGCGTAAGAGCCTAAGGGTCGGTCTAAAAGAGCCTCAGGGCCAATAAGAGGTCGCACCGACCGAATGCGTAAGAGCTCAAAGGCCTGCTCAAATAGCCTCAGAGCCGATACATTAGACCTAAAGGTCAATAAACTCAAGTCGAAAGGTGACTCGGGGACTAAGCCCCAAACAATCAACTTTCGACCATTACAAATCGCTCGGCGATACCAGGAAGCTAAGCGTTTAAATTTGAGGTCCAAAATTTCGGATCAATTGTCAAACAAGCATCGCAGTTTATTCCTAAAAAGCAAAGGAAAAACGAAAAACGATGAAAAACGAAAGGCCTTTTACATATATGTTGAAAGGTTCACAAGGGTGCATTTACAAGGCTTATGTCTGAAGCCTTTACAAAGGCAGAAAGCAAACAAAACCCTAATCTACCACTGGGGCTATGCCTTCGACGGCTCCCTCAGAAATTGTGCCTTCAATAGCACCGGCCACGAACCCCGGGTTTTCACAGCCTCTTTTCGGGGATTCTGCCTCCATCTTCATCACCTCCCGAGTCACTGCTCGACTCGCCTTCAGAAGAAAGCAGGGCCGCATCCTCCT